TCTATGAATTAGAGGTAATAATATTTGTACTATCTACTTCATAGCAAGGGTTATGAAAAAAGTTATATTGGTATTTAAATGAGAACTTTTATAATTTATAATGTTAGAAATAGAAAAGACTTTGAAGTCCACTTGACCAAATCTCTCATTTTAGAGATGAGACTTTACAGTAGACCACAGTTGTGGTGCTATTAGTCTGAACTTCAAAATCTTTTACCACAGAAGTAAAGTGAAATGGGTTACAATGCCCTCATATTCTTATTCTTGATAAACTTGTTACATGGGAATGGGGGCAAAATGGGATTGATGGGCCCACTGATTTTTAGTATTTGAAAAGACATTATCCACATGAACACATTGACTATGGCCAGTAACACTAGGTGACCATTAATTGCTAGGAACTCTCATGTGTGTTTGAAAAAACAGATTTCTTCCTCTTCATATGAAAATAGAGGAATTTCTGTCTGAACAATACTTTTTTGAAGGAAGCAAAAATACAACTTTGCTGATGTTAAAAGAACTTAAGTGTCTTTTTCCTTCGCTGAAAATTTTTGTTGGCAATAAAGGTACAATCAAAGGTGTAATTGAGGGTGGGGGGTGATGATAAGCAAGAGGAGCCTCATAAACCTTTGGCCTGTATGAAAATTAGTTATTTTATACATAATCAACTCCCATTTTCTGCTTCTCTTCATTGTGGATAGCCAAACACTTGCTGTTTTACCTCTGATCTTACTGTCTTCCTTCCTGAGGCTGAATGAGTGCTCATCAGATATGTTATGATGGGGATTCCTTTCAGTTATAGGTTCAACTAGATAGCTGCTGAGTTCCTTTCCAACTGCAAATTCTGTGATTCTCCTTAGCTATTTTAATACTCTGCTAGAGAGTCAACCAAAGAATAGAAAGAAGAGTAAATTCAAATCATTCAGCACCCCAAAGGCAAAGTTATTAGGTAGGAAGTTAAAAATCTTGCCTAAATAATTATTTTTTTTTATCCTCACTTTCTCATAACTTCATTATTACCATGTGTTAACTCTGGGCAATTGAAAGTAAGCAGAGGAGATGGACTCACATTGCAGAATCTATTTTTAGATACAGCTAATTCAGGAATTTGTTTTGGTTGAGAATATATATGTATGTATGTGTATATATATATATATGTATTTTAATTAAGTTTTTATTGGTGTCTTCATTTTCTGACTTCTTCATAGTTTTCCCAAGTATTCCTCCCTCTCCCAGAGAGCCATTCCATATAACAAATAGTATTTTTTAAAGAGGAAAAAAATCAGCAGAAGTAATCAATACATTGAAAAAGTCTAAAAACATATGCAATGTGTAATACCTGTGGACTTCCTAGTTCCACAAAGGGATTGGTTAAGGGTATCTTTTCATATTTCTTCATTTGAGTCCTGCTTGATCTTTATAATTTTGATACATTTACTCAATCTTTTTTATTGTTCTTTTGATTTACATTGTTGTAATTATATATATTGTTTTCTTGGGTTCTGCTCACTTCACTCTGCATCAGTTCATGTAAACTTTCCCTACTTCTCTGTGTTGATCACATACATCATTTCTTTTTTCCCCCATATTTCGATTTATTTATTTTAGTTTTCAACATTCACTTCCACAAGATTTTGAGTTCCAAATTTTCTCCCCATCTCTCCCCTACCCCTACCCCATGAAAGCATGCATTCTGATTACCCCTTCCCTTAATCTGCCCTCTCTTCTATCACCACCACCCCCCTCATCCCCTTTCCCCTTCTATTTTCCTGTGGGGTAAGATAGATTTCTATACCCCATTGCCTGTGTATCTTATTTCCCAGTTGCATGTAAAAACAATTTTTAACATTCATTTTTAAAACTTTGAGTTCCAAATTTTCTCCCTTCCTTCCTCCCCACCTACCTCATTGAGAAGGCAAGCAATTCAATATAGGTTATGCATGTGTAGTCATGCAAAACAGTTCCATAATACTCATGTTGTGAAAGAATATCCTATCCCACCCCCCATTTATTCTGCTCTCTCCTTTGAGCCTGTTCCTCCTCAAAAGTGTTTGCTTCTGATTACCCCTCCCCCTATCTGTCCTCCTTTCTATTACCACCCCCTTATCGCCTTCTCCCCTACTTTCCTGTAGGGTAAGATAGATTTCCATACCCAGTTGAGTGTCTATGTTATTCCCTCCTTAAGCCAAATCTGATGAGAGTAAGGTTCATTCATTCCCTCTCACCTCCCACCTCTTCCCCTCCGCTGTAAAAGCTTTTTGTTGCCTCTTTTGTGTAAGATAATTCACCCCACTCTACCTTTCTTTTTCTCATTCTCCCAGTACATTCCTCTCTCACCCCTTAATTTTATTTTTTAGATATCATTTCTTCATATTCAACTCACCTTATCCCTCTGTCTATATCTGTTACCTCCCACTACCCTAATACTGAAAAAGGTCCCATGACTTACAGATATCATCTTTCTATGTAGGAATGTAAACAGTTCAACTTTAATAAGTCCTTTATGATTTCTCTTTCCTGTTTACCTTTTCATGCTTCTCTTGAGTCTTGGATTTGAAAGTCAATTTCTCTGTTTAGCTCAGGCTTCTCAAGAATGCATTAAATTCCTCTGTGTCATTGAATGTCAATTTTCCCCCCTCATCAATTACACTCAGTTTTGCTGGGTAGATAGATGATTCTTGGTTTTAATCCTAGCTCCTTTGCCCTCCAGATATCATATTCGAAGCCCCCAATCTTTTAATGTAGAAGCTGCTAAATCTTATGTTATCTTGACTGTGGCTCTACTATACTTGAATTGTTTCTCTCTGGCTGCTTGCATTATTTTCTCTTTGACCTGGGAACTCTGGAATTTGGCTATAATATTCCTGGGAATTTTCCTTTTGGGATCTTTTTCAGGAGGTGATCAGTGGATTCTTTCAATTTCTATTTTACCCTCTCGTCTTAAAATCTCAGGAAGTTTTCCTTCATAATTTCTTAAAAGATGATGTTTAGGCTCTTTTTTTGATCATGGCTTTCAGGTAGTTTAATAATTTTAAAATTATCTCTCCTGGATCTATTTTCCAGGTCAGTTGTTTCTGCAATGAGATAATTTCACATTGTTTTCTATTTTTACATTCTTTTGGTTTTATTTTATAATTTCTTGATTTCTTATAGAGTCATTAGTTTCCATTTGCTCCATTCTAATATTTAAGGAATTATTTTTTTCAGTGAGCTTTTGGCCCTCCTTTTCCATTTGGAAGTTCTGCTTTTTAATGCATTCTTCTCTTCATTGGCTTTTTGGACCTTTTTTGCCATTTAGTGTAGTCTATTGTTTAAGGTATTATTTTCTTCAGTACTTTTTTTGGGTTTCCTTTAGCAATCTGTTAACTCGTTTTTCATGATTTTCTTGCATCATTCTGATTTCTCTTCCCAATTTTTCCTCTACTTCTCTTACTTGATTTGCAAATCCTTTTTGAGCTCTTCCATGGCCTGAGACGAATTCCTATTTTTCTTGGAGGCTTTGGATGTAGAAGCTTTGACTTTGTTGTCTTCTTCTGGTTGTATATTTTGATCTTCCTTGTCACCAAAGTAAGATTCCATAGTTGGAGTTTTTTCCATTGTTTGCTCATGTTCCCAGCCAGTTACTTGACTTTTTAACTCTTTGTTAAGGTAGGGCTCTGCTTCCAGTGTAGAGTGCATACTGTCCCAAACTTCAGGGGTTTTGTGCAGCTGTTTTCAGAGATACTTCTAGGGACCTGTAAGTTTTCAGTTCTCCCAAGGTGATATGATCTAAGCAGAGGTGTTTGCTCCTTTCCTGGCCTGTGCTCTGGTCAGTGACCAACCACAAGCACTCTTTTCTGCCCTGGAGCTGTGAGGAGGGTTCCCTCTTCATGGCTGCTGCAAGCTCTGCTATGCCAGTGCTCCTCCTTGCCCTGGGACTGCCACCCAGGACTGTCATCCAGATCCAAGTGTGAGCAAGCAACAGAGTCCTGCCTCAGTGCCAGCAAAGAGATCCCTGTAATCTCCTCCTGACCAGTTGTTTGATCCCGTTACTGTCTGCGGGCTGAGAGCTCCGGAAGCAGCCTCTGCCATTGCTGCCGCCACCACTACTGTCTCTGCCACCACTGCCCTGGAGCTGCACTGGGGCCAGGGTTGGACTGCACTTCTTTCTTATCCGCGTCGGACAGACCTTTCCTTGCGGACCTTCTAAATTGTCTTTGGCGTTTATGGGTTGAGACATGTGGGAACCACCACAGCTGCCAGTGATTCAGTCTCCTGAGGCCTGCCCTTGGTTTGCTGGGGCCTGTACTGGACTGTGCTCCTCTCTCAGCTTGGTGCAACAGATCTTTCCCATTGACCATCCAGATTGTCTTGGAATGGAAATTTGTTTCACTGTGCTCTAGAATTTGTTGAGAATCATTTTTTTGGTATTTGGAGGGGTTTGGAGGAGAGTTCAAGCGAGTCCCTGCTTTTACTCCACTGTCTTGGCTCTGCCCCCACATAAATCATTTCTTATAGCACATTAATATTCCATGTGCTACAATTCATGTATTCAGGAGCTATGATTTGTTTAGTCATTTCCCAGTTAATGTGTATCTACTCTGTTTCTAATGCTTTGCTATCACAAAAAGTGCTGTTTTAAGACTATGCATATTTGTTAACAAGGTTTTTTTGTTTTTGTTTTTTCCAATGGTTGGGGGAGGGGAAAGGAAATTTGAATTTTGTTCATTGCAAAAATGAAATATATTTTAAAAAATATAGTTGAGAGTAGATTCACTTTGCATCCATGTCTAGGATAGGTCCTGGTTCATATTGGGTACCTAATTGATTGATTACTTCTTCTTGCCATGGAAACCCTGGTTATCCAGGTATATCCTATGCCAGAAGAGTGAGGCTAAAAGAGATAGAGGGGGTGTGTGTGTTTTATCAAGTTGCTGTAACATTTAGGTCTTCCTGCATGATTTTTATGTGGAGTTTTAAATGAGTGACACAGCAATTTTACTGTTTACATATTTTGGTAGGCCATTCGAGTTTTCTTTATGTACCGCTCCCTGTCACTGCAACTACGAGATGAACCTGAGACCCAGTTACCACTGACAAGAGAAGAGGACCTGATAAAAACAGATGATGTCCTGGATCTGAGTAAGTAACCCTTCATTATTAATAGGAACTGTGGAGAAGGCTAACTGCATGCTTTACAGGGGCTAAACAAATAAACATTTGACCTTTGTCTTGCTGTATAGTCATTTTAGTAACTGCACTACATGCGTGTAATATCTACTCTAATTTGAAGAAAGTACACAGGGGTTTTCTCTACTTTGAGGTCAGACTGTGAGTGCCTCTTTTCATTTTTTACATTTCAGTAGTTTTTTCTTTTCCATATCTGCAGAGTAAAACATTGACTGATCATGCCAGATAGTTTCTCCCATCTCTACTTCTACTTTCAACCTGTTAACTATTTTTATTTTATTTGCTTACATCTGTTCTTTTTTCCCTTTCTTCGAACCTTAGACAGACAACTTAATTGTCATGTCTATGCTACCTGTCTCCTTTCCTCTACCTTTGCCATTCTACTGTTTTCATCCCTAATAGATAATAATATTGGTTTCTTCAAGGACATTAGAAGGTATGGATTATGTTGCTTAGTTTGATTGTGATAAAATGTAAAAAAAATTTTCTTGAGTTTAACCGTGAATATTTTCATCAGCAAGGTAAAATTAAATGTCAGAAAACATGCTTGCAAATGCACATTTTTCTCTCTCTCTTTATGGATAGCCAACTGAAGTAAAGGTTCAAAGTACTTTACTTACCAGTTTTAATTGATTAGTTGGTTAGTTGGGATCCTTTCACTGAGCTTTTTGAAGTATTCTCCCATTTGGCCCAAATGTTGTTGAGCCTGAATAAGGCAGTTCTTCCAAACGGTCAACTGAATGAAAGTTTGTTATAGCAGTAAAAGCAAATCTAGTGTTGTGGCCAGATTCAGGGAGGTGATGGGAGAAACTTTGTTTGGTACTGTGTTCTTCTCAAATAATTCCTTGAAGCAGTTTCTTTGAACTTCAGACCCAATGGTTTGAAAGTAAGAAGTAGAAAAAGACTTCTCTTGATGACTATAACATAAATATACAATTTAATTTAGTTCCAATTCCTTATCCTTGAATATAATTTCCAGTAAAAGTGGAAAATTTTAAATCATCCCTTAGAGTATGCACTTCCCCTCTTCCCAGTTTCTTCCCACATTTTTAAGCTTCATAGTGATCGTGGTGCTGAAAGTTGCGTAAGAGCACAAGCTAGAAGAACTATATCAATGCTAGGATTAAATTAATAGTTTTTGTTAAAATCCTCACACATTGCCTGATTTTCCTTTATAGGTGACTAATTTCTTTAAACTTGAAGAGCATTGTAATTTTGCTGTGGTTGCCTTCATTTTGTCCAGATTGTTTCTTAATCCCAAGAACTAAGTAATTTTGAAACATATGGTAATAGTAATAATGTGCTACTCTTTATATAGAGAGGTGATGCTACCAGATCATGCAGTTTCAATTGTTTTTTCCATTGGCAAGAATGAGTTGTCGATGGCATTATCTGTGAACTTTTAGCTTTTCTCTCATAACCAGTTGCACACATTTATGAGACAACTGGCCAAGTATTCCAGTCTATGATCATGAAACACTGTAAAACAAATTTGATTATCTGAGATTCAAACCTGTACCATTGCCTTCATTGGTACTATGTTATAACTAACTGAACAAGCTAGTCATAGATATTTGAAAATTGCAAGTCTAACAGATGTTCCATAACTTTTGTGCAGATGAACTTCTTGGGATTAATATCACTATTGAATATAGTCACTGAAAGTAATGTAAGACCACACTATCATAAATCATAAAACTAGAAGGGAACTCAAGCCACCTACTCCAAATTGCCTCATTTAATTCATGAGGAAATTTAGTTCAGACAGATCGAAATGCACAGTACCATAGCTTACATGCTAAAAACAAATTGTTTTGTTGTTCTACCCTCAAACCTAAGTCTGTGGCCAAATTACAGATTGATGACAGAATTTTAAAAAATTAGAATTATTCTATGTTCTAATTCCTAGTCAAGTTATCATTCTTTATTTCAAAGTTTATTAAGTTTTAGCATGCCATATTTGTAATCCTGAATACTTAACTTTTGGCAAGCTAGAGTTTTTGTCAAGTGGTTGCTCTAGGTTTGTATTAACCTGAAATTGTACTGCCTCCTGAGAGTCAGTTTTGACAACTTTAATCATATGGTTTGTTTCCTATATAAATGGTCTTTTCCATTCCATTTGTTTCAGGGTATCCAGTGTTTATTGTTATAATAAAGGGCAGCTAGCTATAATTAGGGCAGCTAGGTGGCACACTGGGCTTAGAATCAAGAACACTCATCTTCATAAGTTCAGATCTAGCCCTTAGAATTATTATCTGTGTGACCCTGGGCAAGTCACTTAACCCTATTTGCTTCAGTTCCTCAACTATAAAATGAGCTGGAGAAGAAAATGGAAAACTATTCATTATCTCTGCCAAGAAAAACCCAAATGGGGTTAGGAAGAATTGGACATGATTGAAATGACTCAACAGCAGTAACAATAATGTTTATTGTTATGGTCCTATCTATCACTATACGAAAATTCTTTCCATAAAACTGATTCAGTGCTTTCTCATTTATTCTATAATTAGTCTTGTTTAAAACAAAAAGGCAACATTTTCAAAATAGTTATAAACAAAAGAGTAATATGAAAGACTGAAAAATTAGTGATCATTCAACATAAATACACTAAATAGCACATAACCATAGCACTTTATGATAAAGAGTTTTTCATGTCTTTTCTTGCCTTCATCTATCACATTAGTTAATTTAAGGTTTTTTTTTTAGAAGTTTTGATGGAGTAGATAGTTGCATGATAAAAGGTGCAGGTCAAACATTTTATCCAACTGCATTATGAATTAAATGACAGTCATGTGTCTTAGAAAATAATGGTGAAAGAGGGGCAGCTAGGTGGTGCAGTGGATAGAGCACTGGCCCTGGATTCAGGAATCCGGCCTGAGACACATAACACTTACTAGCTGTGTGACCCTGGGCAAGTCACTTAACCCCATTGCCTAGCTTAAATTAAAAAAAAAGAAATTTTAAAAAAAAGAAAATAATGGTGAAAGTAAGGCAATTCCAAATAAAATGGATCTTTTGGAGCATTCAAGTTCAGGTACTTAGATTAGAGCTCTGATTGTTTCTTGAGCAGTAGAAGAGTGAGCTGAGTTAGTTAATGAAATCTGAGAGGCAAGTGTATATGTGGCATTTGAAAAGCAAGTGCATGTGGCCGTTGTGGCTTTTGTGGGTAATATTTTCCCCATTTTGTTGTTTTCTCCTTAAAGAGAATACAATTCAAGTTTGATTGCTTTATTTTGAAATATTTTCATATGGGGAAACAGCATTAAAATAACAAGGTATAACAGCTACTTTAATTATTCATAAATACTTACAGTGATTTCATTAACATGAAATTGGCCTTTTTCAGTGTTAAAGCTTTAGTGGTTTGAGATAATTGTAATGGCCAGATTTTTTAAGGAGGCCTGAATATAACTAAAATGAATTTTTACACAAACTATGTATTTTGTGTTATTGTTGCCATTCACAAATTCTTTTATGAATACTGGTTACATTTTCCACAAAATTTGAAATACAGTGTTTTTTTAAATTATGTTTGTTCAAATGGAACATTATACAACGATTCTAAAAATCTACACGGACTGTGCACAATGTAGAGTATATTCTAATTTTTGCAAATTAATCCACTCCAGTTTTAATAATTTTTTATATTATTAATGTTCTCCCTGCATGCTCTTCTTTCTTTTCCCTCCTTGAAACTAGGGCTATATGCTGTGCTAATCAGAAAGAGGATCGTGTTTGAATTAAACTGCCAGTTCTCCAAGGGAATAACATGAAATTAACATCATTTCCCCTCTCTCTATGAATTACACTTCTTCTCTGAGTGTTTGATGAATAATACCGCTGTCCCTTTTTCAGAAATGAAGTAGAAATATGGAGAAATGAAATTTTGTCTTATAAACTGACTGGAAATGTGATTATAATACAGCTGTCAGTTTTGTTCGAGTGGATTTTCTTAAAGTAAATCAAATTGTAGTATTAGTTTGTACTTTTAAAGCAGGATGATGTAGTTGTTTCCTGCATATTGATTATTTGATTGGTACCTGTCTGCTGCAACTTTTTTTCAGTAATGCTCATTGATGTGGTTTAATGTATATTCCTGTAATCTTTCCCCATTTTTATAAACTTACAATCATAACTGAGGTACTTTAGAGACATGTTGTACCAAAGTAATATGGTCACTTATATATCTCCTTTTTATGTATTGGAATAAACTAGAACATTTCTCTGAAAAAAGACAAAAACTATTTTTTCCTCTATCTGACTTTCTGTGTTTAGTCTATTTTGAGAAACCTTAAAAAAGCATTTGGAAAGAAAATGTTAAGCTTTGCCTTTTAAAGTTATATTTCCTATATGTCAAAGATCATGTGTTAATTTTCCCTGAAATAGATTTATGTCTGTTCAGTTTCTATTGGTCCTAGTTTTAAAAATTTGCTCAAGTGGGCAGCTAGGTGGCGCAGTGGATAGAGCTCAGGCTTTGGAGTCAGGAGGACCCGAATTCAAATGTGACCTCAGACACTTGACACACTGTGTGACCTTGGGCAAGTCACTTAACCCCATTGCCTAGCCCCCCCAAAAAAAATCTGCTGAAGTAAAGTGATTTTCTAATAGTAATCATTTCACTATATTCTTGACATTCATTGACATTCATTGATTTCTGAGTTTAAGGATCAATGCAGTGTTTTTCTTTTTCACAGTATGTAATTATATCTTATCTTCCTTCAAGTTTTCTGTGGGCTCTTTAACCATATCAGTGTTTTAAAATCTTTTCTGTGAATTAGTGTTGCCACCAAAAGACTGAATGAGCATCAGCAGTTTTTCCTTTTAAGAGTTTTGTGCTTCCACCCTGCTCCTGCCTTTACCCCAGTTTTGTCCATCTTTTAAGAAATGGCTAAGTGTTCTAACCTTGGAACATATTAAAGGCAAAGTTGTCGTTTCCACTTTTGCTTGAATAG